CGGGAAGGTGGCTGCCCCAGGAGGGCTCACCTGGAGACTGTGTGCAGGTCACCAGCCCCTTAGAAGAAGGAAACTGAGGCAAGGTGCCACTTGCAGAGACAGGCGGAGGCCACGAGGGGTGTCTGGAAGCCGCCACCCTGTCTCTTGTGTATTAGATTCCCAAGGGTTTACCCGCACATGGAGTCTCTCTGTGCAGCCTGTCGTGCATGCGCCTTACCTTCTGGCCAGCCTCCGCTTCTCACGGGGAGCGCTCCATTCTCCGGCGCTGAGCGTGGGTTTGCTTAGAGTGCGGTGATTTCGAAGCACACGTGTCGTTGTTCTTGCAGTGCATTAAAACCTACCACTCAGACTGGCATGTGGTGAACTATAAATACGAAGACTACTCGGGTGACTTCCGATCGTTGCCGTGGTAAGTGTCCTCTTCCGGAGTGCCTTCAGCTCGGAAAAGAGGAGACCAAGGGAGGGTAGGACAGAGGTCTATCAAATCATGTCAGGTATGGAGAAAGTGAATAAGGACAAGTTATTTGCTTGTTCCCATAACATAAGACCTAATTGATAGGCAGCAGGTTTAAAACAAACCAAAGGAAGTTTTTCTTCACACTGCGCACAGTCAACCTGTGGAACTCCTTGCCAGAGGATGTAGCGAAGGCCAAAAGTATAAGTGGATTCTAAAGGGAATTAGATAAGTTCATTGGAGATAGGTCACCAGTGGCTATTGGCCAAGATGGTCAGGGATGCAACTTCCTGCTCTGGGTGCCAGAAGCTGGGAGCAAACATCCTGATGGATCACTCGAGAATGTCTCTCGAGAATGTGTCTGTTCTGTTCATTCCTTCTGAAGCACCTGGCACTGCCACTGTCAGCAGACAGGGCACTGGGCAGGCTGGACCATTGGTCTGACCCAGTCTGGCCATTCTTAGGAAGTAGTGTTATTGGTCCAACCATGTGCTAACATTGCCCCCCGGGCTTGCCCCGTGCCCAGTATATTTGTGTGAGATTTACTTGCCCTTTATTTAGGGTTTGCTCATCAGAGGACTTGGGGCACCTTAGTGTGGCCCAGACTGTATCAGGGAGTGCAGGAGATGTCGCAGGGGTTTATGCCTTACTTCCCATCATATCTGTTACTGTGCAAACACCTTCTGTCTGTAAGACAGGAAAGGATTGTTCCAGACGCGTGGTAGAATAGATAGCTTCAGTGCAGCCTGCTCATCCTCAGGTCAGGTTGCAAGGGAGTCCTGCATTCAAATCCTGGTTTTCACAACATCCTTCGGCAAGGAGTTCCACAGATGGTTCCATGTCAGTTTTTGCAAATATCTGTTGTTGAGCCTACTCGTGTGTTCCCAGCAGGGACAAGGTAGACCGGTACCTTGCTTGGCTATTGTCCTGGCTTCTTCTCTCTTATGGCTATCTTATATGCTCTGTTCTATTTTCAGCAAATCCTTTCGGCCGGAGAAGATTCCAAGCCATGTATTTGAGATAGATGAAGACTTTGAGAAGGACGAGGTAAGGGGAAAATGTGTGGTTCTGTAGCACTGCGCAGGCGGTGGGGCAGGAAAAACTCACACCAGGGGATGCCTTTGCTGGGGAATCGTTCACTGATGGCCCATTCCCTTCTGAGCCGCTGGGACAAGGCTGCAATCACCCACCCACTGGTGTTACAAGATAAGCTTCTTGGCTTTCAGAGATGATCAGTTAGAAGGCAGGTGCCTCCTTTCAATGAACCCGGCTGCGTTCTCTGGCTTTCCCGCTGGTCCCGTGCAGCAGTCCGAAACGGGGGCCAAGGAAATGACACAGCAGATCTTCGTGGGAGGGTTGGAATCACTTCTGTCTTCAGCAGAGTTCAACAGGTCACGTGCCGCGTGCCAAGCCATCTTGCAAAGTGGTGTTGCTGCTCATTTAGGCGACGTCGGGCTAGCGGGGCTATCTGGGGACACCGGAAGTCTCCTGAAATAGCACTGCCACGCCCTTCAGTGCGCCCGCTATTGTAAAATATAGTTTGAAATAAAGGGTGCGCTATCCCGGAACCCTCGTTCCGTCGCACTAAGGGACTGGCTGGGATAGTGCTTTGTTTTCAAACTAGCCAATTAGCCCATCATGAGATGGGATTTTCAGGTCTTCTCTCCTGAGCTCTCTGCCTCCCCCCCCAGCTCTCCTCCTCCTGCCTCTCCCTCCCCTTTTTTTTTTTGTGCCCCCCTTCCCCTCCCTCTCGCCGTGCGCTTGGCTGAGTGCTCCC